ATAATCTTAATCATCTGATCTTTGGAGGCAATTTCCTGGTCTTGGCTGGACAGATCAGGCTAAATGCTACATTTGGCCCTATTTTTAAATTGTCCAGATGGTGTGACTGGGTGTGTGACTGAGGGTGCCCACATACACTGGGCTGCTTCCAGGGACTATTTGTACCCTGGGTAACAAGCAGCTGTAGACAGGAGAGGGGAATGAGGTGAGAGAATGGTAGGGGTGGAGTCAGCGCCTTTCTTATCTGACTAAAACTGATGTCACCAGTTACCTGTGAAATGCTGAACCTTGGTTTAGATTCTAGGGGGCACATTCTTGGTCACCCATAAAATGGCAGCCAGGCCTAGATTCAAAGGGTGTGATGGACAGAAAGTAGGAGGCAGGTCTGCGAGGGCTGCTTCTGAGCCCAGCTGCAGCAGCCCACGCTGGGTCTGGGTGTGCTGTGCACACAAGAACTAGCAGGGAAAGCCGTGCTCCTCATTACATAGGCCGTTTTTTTGCCCCCTGCCTGCTGTAACTCAAAAGTTACTTTGTTGCCTTGAGGATTAAAAAGACAATGCTAGAAAAGAAGAGAAGGCAAACAGGATTTGAGAGAAGAGTAACCACAATCTCCCAAAATTTTTAGGCTTTTAGCAGTAATGTACAGGGGACATCCTGCAACAGCTTCTCCTCCTCTTTACTTACAATTTCCCATCCCTTCTTCCTAACCTGGCTACCCCTCAGGTGAAATTTCTTCTTCCTTCTGCCTCACTGATCCATGTCCTTTGAAAACAGATACTTACCAATCACCATTCTCTAGAAGCCTTTACATGTATCAGATGTAGCTAAAATTGCAGCTGATGCCTCCCCCTAAAAATGCAGCTGATGGCTGGAAAGCAAAGACAAGCTTGTAGCGAAAATTGTGGCTTAGGTCTACGTTAGGAGTCAGCAAACTACACAACCAAGCACTGTTCAAAGGCCAAATCTAGCCCACTGCCTGCCTTTGAACATCCTGTGAGCTAAGAATGGATTTTACATGTGTTTATGGATGGGGAAAAAAACAAAAGTATATTAATATTGTGTGACATGTGAATATTATGTGAAACTCAGGTATCGATATAAAGGTTCATTGGAACACAAACATGCTCATTTATTTACCTATTGTCGGCTGCTTTTGCAGTACAGTGGCTAATCTGAGTAGCAACAAGAGACTGTATGGTCACAGAGCCTAAAATATTTATTGGCCCATTCCAGAAAAAAGTTTGTCAATCCCTAATCTAAATTGTTAAACGTGTTAGAGATGTTAGATAAGAACATCTCAAATAAATACATTCCAGGCAAACTAACAAGAGAAAGGCTATGGAACAGCCGCTCTAAGGTCTGAGCCTACAATTAAGACTGACTGGTTACCATGAGGAGCAGGATATTTTTTTTAAAAGGGTGAGGGATATACAATGTCTACATTCTTCATTTGGTAAGTGTGGAGATGACAATGTCCGTAGTTCTCACTGGAATATCCCAGTACATAGGGCCACTTCTTAGAGCTGGGCAGGTGCTCATTCAATAGTTACTGAGTGAATGAAGAGGAGGAAACATAAAACAAGTGAAACAGGAGTTGCACAGGGTTGGGAGTGAAAACTGATTCTCAACAAACGCCTCATGTGAGATGTCAAGGGTTCCCAAAAATTAACAAAAATGCTAGTTTTTGGAAACTAACGTATCAAATGCTCAGCGTGTGCCCAGGAGACTAAAGAAATGACAAAATAACTATGATAACTGCCATGAGGTCCATTCAAGCCCACCTTTCCCACCCCTTCCTCAGTCTCCAGACCCTTAGAGATTTAGTCCAGAGACTAAATTCAAACTTGGAGATTAGCAAGGGGAAGGAAATCACAAAGAAAGCTCATAAAATAAACAGCACTACTTGTCACTGTTGATCTTTGATTAACTGGCTCTTCTTTCCAAAACAGGGCCCCTTTTTCTTTGTCTCTCTCACTCTTCGCTGGCAGGTGACACCCACACATATCCTTCGGGGGCGGCAGAGATGCTTGCACAGATAACCGCTGGAGCGCATGCTGCCTATCTTCTTCTTCGTGTGTCATCACTGCCAAGTAAAACCACAACTGTAGGAAAACAAAGCTGTTTGCTGCTCTTCTGTCTCAACTGACATTTCCCCCCAGCTCTTACAATTCTTTGGAGCCAGAGGAGTGTTTAAATCTGTCATAGAGATAGCTCTGTCAGATGCAATTTAGGTAAAATCCAACCCTTCCCTATTCTAAGATAAATTCACCTTTCTGTAATTTTTTGTCACCTCGAATTCCTGGCACTCTGAAACCTTTCACAGAGTTTAAACAGATGAATAGGAGAGGGAAATGGGCTTGGGAAGCACTCATCCTGACCTTTAGAGTGGCCTCAACAATGAGGTCAGCTTAGAAAAGACAAAATATTCTTGGATCACCCCTATTTCATCCCAAACATTGTTTCAAATGTGGAGCCCAGTGTCCACACCCTGAAAAAAATAGAAGGCACACTGAGAAAGCGTGCTACATTCTTCTCTGGACAGTGTCCTGAGTTTCTAAGGGCTGAGAGCCTGTGAATCTTCAAAGGGAAAACAAGAATTTTGGGAAGCCAAATCAGAGGAAACTGGGGAGTCTACCTATTCAGATTTGTGCCTGAAGAACCAAACTTCTCAGCACCCCTGCTGAAAAGTCAAGAGTCACACAGGACCTCAGTGTAGAAGACACAGATAAGCCACCAAACCAGGGTCTGGTGTGGCTCCCGGACCATCTCATTTGCTGCTGTATGTGGGGTGGTTGGACCCCCATTACAATGGATCCAGAAGTTTCTTTGAGTTATTCTCACTCATCCGTTATCTATAATCCAGAGAAGATGAGAGAGGAGAAAGGGCACTGCTTTAAAAGGAATCAATCTATTTTATCAGATTGGAGGAGAAAAAAGCGAATTCAGGGCTATGGGCAATTAAAATTATTCAGTTACATAGCTAGAGCATAGTGGGAAGTCTGTTAAGTGGAGTTGTGACATGTGCATTATATTTAATTTTTAATTTGAGTTTCAAAATACTAGAACCTTTTTATAGAAGTAGTTTACACTATATTTATTGCACCAATAAAGGAATACTTATTTAGCAGAATTCATTTAATGGCTGGTTTTTACCAACCTTGTCCACTTCTAATTGATCTAATTTGTCCAATTGAATTCAAGAGTGACTAGCTAAGTTCAGTCTTTCTTAGAGTAGAAGGAGACATGTAGGCTCATGTTTTTCAAATTTTACTTACCATTATTAAGTTTAATGAGCTCCATTTGAACAAAGAACCAGTTTGGAGATAAACTCATTGCACACCTATTTGGAACCAGGCTAACCTCAAAACGCAATTTGCAATGAAGTAAATAGGAGATACTATGTGAATTCCCAAACCAACCCTTGTGTCTCGTGTTCAAGGGCCTTCCCCTACCCACAAGAATGATAGTCTGGGTGTGTATGTGTGTGGATGATGAATATGTCTAATTTGAATTGTCAACTTGGACTAAGTACCACTATTTTGTTTGTTGTTGTTCTTTTATTTTTGAACTACTGCAGGCCATTAGAGTGTTCAGTTATGACACAAGTGTGACAGGTGAAGAAGCTGAAAGTTTCTGTCCCCAATATTCCCATCTTTGAGCTCTGTTTGAATCACAACCAAGCAGGCATTTATAGAATTTGTTTTGGAGGGGAGTGTTAGGGAGAAGAAAAGAGCAGCCACTCAATGTAGGATGAGACTTTAACTATAAAAGCAACACTTTCAGAAGTCTTAGACCTAAGACATATTTAAAACAGTCAGCATTTCATTAAGAGGAAACTTGAGGACTTCAATGGGAGACCAACTTACTCTTGACTGTGGCTTATCTAGCATGGTTTTTTAAGTTTCTTTCTAACAGTATTGGTTTCCCTCACTGCACGAAAGTTTCTAAAATGTAAATGAACTTATATGTATCAGGTTTTCTTTCACCAGGTTTGACTATGTATATATTTTACCTCCTATGTCACTAATACAGTGGATTTTTGAACAAATTAAAGTGGAAAATAGAACTGGCTCTCTCCTTCTCAGAGTGTGATTAGTACATTTAGATTGGTCATTAATTCATAGGGCATGTGAAGTCACTCAGTCAGGCAATAAATATTTATTGAATGCCAGGCACTAATCTAGGCACTAGGGATATGGCAATAAACAAAGCAAAGTTCCCTCTCTCGTGGAACTTACATTCTAGCTTGTGGAAACAAGCAATAAACAAATAAATAATTTAAAAATCTAGTGTAAGAAATGGTGAAATACCATGGGAAAAAAACAGCTAGGAAAACAGAGTTTCAAGAGATTTAACTACAGTAGAAGGTAACACTTGAGTAGGGACCTGAAGGAAATGAAGGAGCAAGCCAGGTAGATATCTGGGGAAGAACATTCCAAACAGAGGAAATAGTATGTGTAAAAAGGCTCTGATGTGGGAATGATGTTTGTGGAGGAGTAGGTCAGAAATTATGCATATACTTATACCCCTGCAGATACTAAGGACTCACCCAGCCTAGGACTTGAGGAAGTCTTTGCCACTGTCCTTGATCTGGGTAAATAACAAGTCAATGGCAGTGATGACACTGGTTCTAGATCCATTGTTGCCACCATCTCCGATTTAACATGGAGTTGAATTTAACACGCTGGGATCAGTTTCCAGTCCCACTGTGGTTCCTATCCAGCAGGGTAAAAGGCTGAGATGAGGGATCCAGTATCCACTTAACCATCAACATCCCCATTAAATTAGCCATGAGAACTAATAGCGCAGTTAGTTAACCTGAGGGACTGAAGGAGTCAAGGCTGAAGTCTGAGCTCTCTCATAGAGCCATCACATCACACAGAATGCACAGGGAAGCCCAGCCTGACATCTCAGAGATGTAAACCGCTGGCCCAATGACAAGCTGTGACCAAAGCCAAGCAAACAAACCAGAAGCATACATTGTTTAAAGTGAAACTAGTATTTGAAAGCCTGGATTTTTTAATCACTAAATAGGTTACTTATAAAAAGGATTTATCCCCCACTTTTTTTTATCCCCCACCTTTTTAAAATAGCAAGTTTTCTCCAGTCATTGCCAAAACTGAACTTTACCTGCTCTGAAAGACAATATTAAAGCACAAATTTTAAGACTGGCACATGGTAGTTCAGTAATTTTATCACTGAATACACAGAACATAATGTATACTTGGTCTCTTTAAAGTGGCGTGCTCAGTCCAGAATAAGTGAGCTCACAATCAGAATTATAAGACTCTTACAATAATAGCAGCAAATGACATAGTTTTCTTCATAATAACCATTTCTGAAACTGTAAAAGTGTTGCTCCTACCATTGTTTTTAAACCGTTTCTGGGTTCACAGTAATAGTGAAAATGGACTTCCTTATTAACACTTCTACTTTGGTTCTGTTCAGAGTGAGTAAGACAAATCTGAAGTATGATTCATATTTAGCAAACCTCTTTTTCCCATCAGAAAATAAAACTGTTTATTGTCCAAGACAAAATCTTTCCATTTTTGTTGTTTTTATTCATTTATTTATTTTTGCCATTGTTCTTTCTAAAAATTCTTCACCTCTGTCATTTTTAAATAAAATCTGATAACTTGGATTGAAGAACTCTGGGGGCCAAGAAAGAGGCAGGCAATGTGGCACATGTACCAGTATAAATTCAAAGTCTGTCACCCAAGTACTGCTGAGTTTGACCTTCTTTAGATTCATTAAATTCATGAATAGAAGCTCATTTAAAAATCTACCAAAGTACAATATTTTCTGTCTGGAATCAGAATTCTTACCCCTCCTCATATTAAAAAAAAATTTTAAAGATCTCGATACACATAGAAAGTGGGAGGTGGAATGGTATACATTTCATTACAAGCTAAATATATTCCAAAACAAGAAAATAGTGGAAGTTGAAGCTGTTAAATTTTATAGCACCTGGTCCTTGGGTAATGGGTTTAAATTTGTGGTACAATGTTCTCTCTTCTCAGGTCATTGCCTGGTTTAATTTTTATATATAATTTATCTATATGGCAGTGATAACAATAGCTAACATATGTTATATGTCAGGCATGGTACTAAGTGCCAGGGACAAGCAGAAAAAGACAAATTTGGGCCATGCCCTCATAGAGTTTTTAGTAGAGAAACAGACATTTATGAGCATTATCTCCACTTCATAGTTGAAGAGCCAGAGTCTTAGAAAGACACTGACTTGCCACCTAGTTATGGGACTTGAACCAGGTCCATCTGCCTAACTGAATAAATCAAAGCAGATCAAATGTAAAGGTGACAGTAAAGCCATTTTTCAAGGTCCCCAGGCATACTTGACCAAAACTAAAGGCAGAAAAATATCCATGGTCATTACAGGATCAGGCCTTACAGGATATCTTGAGAACTTGGATGCTGTCAGAAGACGCACTTGAAAATATTTTTCCATGTTGATGAACCTCTATGGTCAATAGGCCACTGAACCCACAGAGTTCTGGAGGTCTGAGCCCAAACACGCATCAAGCCCCTACAAGGAAGGAACTCTCATCACAGCACCTTCTGCCTGCTGTCTTTTGAAAAACTTCCCCCAGACGCAGGCCCCTCAGCACATCGCAAGAATCGTGTCATTCCCTCTTTCAGAAGTTTCTTGGGACTCATCCCCATACCTTAATAAATGCTAATATCCCTCTGTCCCAGTGTCATCACTTCTCAGCATGTGCTTTCACATCCACCTTCAGATCTCCATGCAGGCAATAGAGACAACTGTGCAAACTTGAAATGTAGAAACTTGAAATGTAGAAAAGAAAAGCCTCCCTCTACAATTTCACTGGAATAAGCTGCTAAACAAGTAACCTCCATAGTATTCAAACAGTTTTGTCATCAAGTGGCCTTACTTCCCGATGACTTTATTCTTTTGAAATCCCATTGTGAAGATGACATTGAATTCTCAACACAGGGAGTAATAAAAGCAGGTTGGTTTGGGATTCCATCGGATAAAATGGCTTAATATAACCAAAATTCACCAAACACAATGTATACATATTTCTACACTAAAAGTAAAACAGCATTAAATAGGAACTAAGTGGCTCATCTCATGAGTGACAGTGTTTTAATGGTTTTAAAAATATTTAAGTCTCTCTAACCCCTCCCAAGCTCTAACCTATCCCCACCCTAAACCCACATTTAACCAAAGGGTATAATTTATCTAACCTTTCTTCTCCATCTAACAAGTCCTTTAATACCACTCTTCCCTTGACCTCAAAGTGCAGGTGAGTGAGAAAGGACTGAAATTGGAAGCAGGTTTCAAGGCTAACAGAATCCACTCGCTTTTTGTTTTCTACCCTAACTTAATCAAGTCAATAAATACATGGTAAGTCTGAACTTGGGTCATGGCACTACAAGATATAGCCTGCCACAGTAATATCCTTTAACTTCACTTTGGTCTCAAAATGATGTTATTTGACTTAGTTGTTCAAGCATAATTGGCATTGGTGACCTAATAGAAGCCCAGAGTAGCCAACTGAAGATGAGGCAGGCCTTTCCTATCCAGAGCAGTGTTGTTGGGCAGATGAAGAGGTGCCTGCCAGCTTGCATCTGGATAGGCGTCCATGTCAGGAGCGGTACGCCGCAAAGTCACGTGCTGGAGCATAGGGTTGGTAGTGCTTTCGGGTGGGCCCCAGCCTCCTGGGGGTCATGTTCATGTAGTCGCTCTGAAGGATCCTGCTCCTCTTACTCTTCATCTACAGAAAAAAGAAGTGTCAGTTGTGAAGGGGTCCAGGGACACAGACATGTCATGGGAGGAGCTCAAAGATTTGGGGGACAACTATTCACAACACGGACAGTGACAAGAAGCTGTACACACCAGAATTCATCGAGCACCTCGGACTTGGATAATGCCTAATCAAACCTACCTGCTTTGGACTCTTCTAAATTAACATGAAAAAATCTGAATCAAAGAAAGTATTTTAGAGAAGTTTCTCTCAGTGTAGTCATTTGACCTGAATCCTGAAAGTATATCTAATATATCCACTGCTGATATGCAAATACTCTTGAAGGCCCTTTCTCCTTTGAGAAAGTTGAGCATTCCCACTGCAGTCTTCTTATATTAGTCATTTTCTTAACAAGCCTTTTTCCATAATTAATCAAAAAGGACCTTCGGCATTCCAGAGCCTGGAATAATCAAATATATAGCAATTGAGTCCAAATTCATGGGGAATTCTAGTTTCAGACAGACGGTTACATCCCTACTCCCTTCTGTGCATGTACATTTCCATGACGACAACAGTATCACTCGTCTCTGGGCCTCAGACTCGGCACTCTCTGGAAGAGTTTCTACCAGGGCTGAGGGATGTAGGGACAATACTAAATACAGAGCAAGAGTTATATTCACCATGAATCTTAGCCAAGTTTTGACTGGGGGTAAGGAGCATCTTTTCTGGATCAGTATGATGACAAAATTTCATAAATGATCCATACATTTCTAAAAATAGAAAGCCATCCAGATTTCTGTATTCATAATTCTCCGTTATGAAAAAAATATCTATTTCTTGGCACATCGGCCTGATGTCCAAGTAGATACGCTGGACATGAATGATATGAACACCTGTATAACTAGGTAAGCGAATGACTGCTGCCCTGGCCTTATTCCAAGTGCTTCTCTCTGAGCCTTTCATACCACCCTTGTCAAAGGGACAGGAGTACGGAATTAAGCTTGTAATGTGCTGACCTCCACCCACCTTGCTAAAGAGAACTAACATGTCTCTCATTCTCATTTTTTGAACTCTCAGAGGCATTCTACGTTCCTGATTACTCTCTCCATTTTGAAACGCTCCCCCACTTTGTCTTCCGTGAGATGGCATTACCCTCGTCTTCATCTTACCTTCTCTGGCCACTGCTTCCCTGCTTCCCTGGCAAGCTTATCCTTTCCAACTGGCCATTCAGTGGTAGAGTTTCTCACAGCTTGGTCATAAGCCTTCTCCTCTACTTAATGTCATCCTCTCTCCTTAGGCAAATGCATCCCTACTCACAGCTTCAGTTACCACCTATTCACCCACATTTATATCTCTAGACAAGACCTCAAAGGCGCTTTAACCTCAACATTCCCAAAAAGAAACTCAAGATCTTCCCCTAAGTCTGGCCCTCTCCTGGGGGTTCTCATCTCAGTAAGTGACACAACTGTATATGCAGTTGCCTAAGCCACACTTCTTCAGCCTCATCCTTGACATCTCCAGCTCCTTTATCCCCTACCCCAGGGGATATTTTATAATGCTTGAAGACATTTCATATCATTACAGTTAGGAGAAATGCTACGGCATTTAGTGGGTAGCAGCCAGAGATACAGCTGCACACACCCTACAGTGCATAAGGAGGCAGCCCATGATGTCAACAGCACCAGGACTGAGACATCCTGATCTTAAGAGTCTGGTCAGGAAAAAGGATGAAATGAAAAAGAAGCAATGGATATAAAAATACCACCAAATTAGAATGAATATTGTTAAACTGTTCAACTTCTTCTCACTCATATTCAAAGATGACTGCTAATTTGAGCCTGTGTGACTAGAAGGACAGTGTTACATCTATAGTTATAAAATAAAACAGTAGGAGAAAAAGATTTGAAAGAGAAGGTTGCAAATTCAGCTTTGGTCACTTGGGATTTGAGATGATGGAGGCGTTCCTCAATTGAAACTAAAAACAGGATAGCATTAAGCAGACATAATTGGGAGATTCATTCAGAGAGAGGTAGCCATGGAAACCAATAGGGTAAGGGAAGTCACTCTTCAAACATCTTGGTTCTATGTCCTCTGCATAAATGAAAGACTGGAGTTCTCTTGGGCATAGGGTTATGGCAGGGCAAGGAAATTTCTACCCCTATATAAATGCAGATAGCTGCAGATGATACCCTGGGAGGCATTTTAGTATTTACTCCAACTCTGAGAACTCCCCTTGCCAGTCTCCCAAGTGACAATCTCTGCCTCTGGATGCCCAAATAAAATTATAGCTTGTAGAGAGGCCCGAATAATGAAGGAATCTTGACTCTGAGGTTCTCTGAGTTGCAGAATAACTATGAAAGATCTGCTACAATCAACTTCCATGCTTAGCCTCATGCTACTAGCAGATAGTAAGGTTAGTCATTATCACCCTAACTGTAAACACAACAGTGGGATAGAAATGACACATCCACAGCTGGGAACACTATGCAGAACCCCCAGTGTCCATGTGCATCTAACAAATGCATGTATGTGTGCAGAGCACTCACCTCATGTCTGTGTGACTGGGTCATCTGTTCTGCCCCTCACCCTTCAATACCTGCTGAGAGGTGGATTTAAGGACCACTCCTCCCTTGCCCTTCCCTCCAGCCCTGCCCTTACCTACTGTTTCCTGGAAGTTGCAGCAAGACACAAGGTATACACAAGACAATTCACTTAAAGACACAGCCTTTGAACCCATTGGATTTAAAGGCAGTTACTGTCTGTACACACTATGCACATTCCCCACATTGTGACTTACAGTGGAGAAGACCATGATTTTTAAAAGCCTCCTTTAGACTGAGAAAGAACGCAGAGTTTGGCTGAGTCAATGGAGGACTGAGTGAGAATAACAGGTGCTGGTCTGTGGCAGTCTGGCAGAGGGGAGCTCTTTATTTATTCAAATGTCAGCAACAGGTCAAGAACTGAGATAGAATCTGCAGCTGTCTTAGAAACCCACTCAGCCCAGAACTGACTATGGTAGCACGACAAAAGCCCTCAGGAAGTTCCAGAAAACAGTGGCTTATAACCATGTTTACAGGGTAAACCAGCCAAAAACAGGATCCCAAAAAAGTACCCAGGAAATGGCTAAACTCTGCCTGGCTGCCTAGCTCAGCAAGATGCCATTTGCTTGAATAGTAACAGCAGCAGGAAAAGAGAAACCCAGAGTTAAAAATGCTCCATTATTCCATCAAATATACGTATATGTTTATTTTAAATCCTTTTAGTCAGAGAGTACAAAGACCTAGGTTTGAAATGCAAATAAAGGGTTCTTGCTTGGTAACTTAATTGACTATAAGAGGCCACAGAAGGTAAGAAAATAAGATATGCCAAGTCCTGGGTCTCCCCACCTTACAGGGAATATGTGAAGCTGAATAAGACCATCATAAGTTTTCTCAAAACAAAGCAAGATGAATCTCACTAAGATTTAGTAGCGCTGCTGAAGAAAAACCCATAGTGTCTGTGAGGTATCCAAGTTGAAAGTACACTGTTTAAATGCACTGAAAATGAGAAGCTGCTTTTGTCCCTTTGGGTGATTCAAGTCACTTAAGAAATTAGTGCCTGATTATAGTAATTGATATTCTAATGCATATTTACAATAAGTTTTAGAGGATGAACAGTATCCTTCTGGCCACCGAAAGTTAAAGAAGTTCCCAAAACTACTCCCCACCACTTTGGAAGACTCTCCAGGGCAGACACACATTTCTCAGGCTGCCTGTTGCCTAATCTGTACGTTCTGAGGGGTAGGGAACAAAGCGGCTTTTGTTCCTGGAAATTCTTTATGCTAGATATTGTCTAGTAGCAGCTACCAACGAAGCTAGTAAATTACATTGACCTAGGTCAGCATATTACAGGGGAGCACCTGCCCTGGAAAGGGACTCAAAACACCAGTGCACCTGGATTTTAAAGTAAGAAGCCAAGATTCCTGAGCAGAGCAAGATAAAAACAAGAACTAAGACTATAAAATTCTAAAATCATTGGCAAACACCATAGAGGTCCAACACTGGACAGTACCCTTGATGAAGACACCAAGATCCAGAAAGATGAAGGGATTCAACTAACATCAGAGGAAGATGAGCATTTTTTCACTACATAAAAGGCCTCCATCAGGGTTGGGCAACTTACAGTTGCAGCAAGGCGGGCCAATTCTCAGGGCAGTATCTAGTGTAAAGAATTTCCAAGAACAAACAGCCACTTTGTTCCCTACCCTGCAGGTGGTACAGATTAGGCAACAGGCAGCCTGATGTCCATCTGCCCCCTAGTCTTCCAAAATGGGAGAAGCATGTGGAGACAACCAAAAGGCAAACTTGGATGACAGACCAACAAGAGTTTAAAGTAATCCCATGCAGGATCTATCACTGACACGACTGAACCCAGGGCTGCCCTCCATCCTTGACCTGGCCAGCACCATGGCTATAGTAAATAGGATGGCTTCCCCTGGCATGGCTTTCAGAAATCACTGACCCATGTATGAATTAGTTAAATATATGGGGTATCCCTTAAAGATGAGTATCATACTTCAGTTCATTTAAGTCCTTAGTTTGGCCTCTATGGGTGTTATCAATTCAGTAAGAATTCATTAACCACTAAATATCCTTAATACCAGATGGATGGCAAATACCAAGAGAAATAGTCCTTTTTCCTTGAGGAGCACACACTTCTTGAAGACGTGACTCCTTTGTGTATCTAACTTCTAGAAAACAATTCAAAGACAACATAGAATCAATGCATGAAGTACTCCATGTCACACTGTGTGCATAAGAACAGGAAGGTTCTGAGTATGGGAAAGATCCTGGGTAGGGAGGCCCCACCCTAACAGTAGACATGGGCATCCAGATGTGTTCAAATCTAGGCCGAAACTTCAACTTTGAAGAAGGTGATGAAAAATACACCATTTATTGCACGACTTTTGCAAAAGTTGGTAAATTCCAATTCAGTGGTGAGAGCTCAGAAAAGTCTAACTCCCATTGTAGTTTCACAATGACAGCACCATACCTGGTCTCACTAAATTCAACTGCTTCAGAGACAATAAAAATATGACTCAGATAAACAGACCTAGTTTCTTCGCTAGGTTTGAATGCATAATTTCAGCAGCGAATTTCTCATGATTATTGATCCTGAACCAAAGTTGTTCATTGGCTTCAGTTGCCTAGATCCCTAAGTGGCTTAGACTTTTATGTATGAGTATATATTAAAACTATTGTATATGTCATAATAATATTATAAATTGGGGAGAAAAACAGTAACTGCTCCTAATATCCCCTTCCTAATCCACCCATTTAACTTTTTATTCTAACTAGCCACCTAATCCATGCCTTCTGGAAAATAGAACTCACATCAGATTTTTAGCTTAGATAAAGTTAGACACACTAAAGGAGAACATACTCAAACTTAGCAGGGAAAAAGGAAATAATAAAAATTTCATGTTAAACAGAAAATAAACCATACAGGCAGAATTCTTGAATATGTTCAGACTGCATGTGCAGCAGATAAGTTACATAAAAACAGCGCAGCTTCTCTTACCCAGAAAGTGAAAAGAACCACTGTTACTAGCAAGCTATAGAATGCTAGGACTCCACCAATCACCGCCAGTGGCCAAAATGGCTTAGAATCAGGAGACAGGAGAGCTGGACAAAGACATTTCTCTGAAAAATAAAATAAAGCAGATTAAATGATCTGGAATCACAGATGAGTACATATCCTTCCTTCTGAATATTACGGAAGAATATGAGAGGAAATGAAACATGCAGAATATCACTAGCTTAGAATGTGTAGCCTTCCACTTTGCTCTGCCCTCTTTGGGACTTATCCTGCCCCACCCCTGATCATGACCTAGTTTTCAAGACTGCACTTGAAAACCATTGACACACTAATAGAGTTGGGTGTTACCTTTGACATGGATAATGGTTCCATTGCTCTTCTCATTGTCTATGTAAGGAGGAGGATACATGACCTCGATTTTGCAGAAGTAAATGTCTGTTTGATTAACGTACAAATTCCAGAGGTAGAATGTCACTGTTTCATTGCCCAATTTCCCATCGCAGTTGAATCCGGTATTTGAGTGAAACTGAAGCTGATGGGAGTAATTTCCATTCACAACGCAGACTTCAACAGCACTATCTGCTCCCTTGTACAGGGACGCCCGGAACTCCTTTTTGATGAGGTTCTGTGTATGCTTGCAGCTAAGGTTGACCTCATTGTTGTCCACCACAAGGATGGGTGACTGCTTCACCAAAATCTTGTTTTCTAGAAGAGGAAAGATTGTTTGCTTAGAACAAGGGTATAAAGACTTTTCTTTTTTCTGAAATCAAGATGTATTAGTGAACCAAATAAGCAAATCTCCTGCAAACGCTTTCTCTCGGAAGATGAAGATGGAGCTCTTTGGTAAATTATTATACTAAGAGTTTAAAAGTTTACATTTTGATATTATTTCCCACCTCTTTTGAATGGAACAATAGAGAGTGTTTTCTCTTGAAACGCAGTGTGTGGCTTCTGTTGGTACTGAGTGCCACAGCTGTACTTATGGGATTTTTGAGTCTGTACTGAGATTCCTAAAATGTTATTCATACTTAATCATGTTCATTTCCCCATTGAGCAGTATACTTGTAGATGGCTTTTATCACCAGACAGAGATACTTAACAAAATTTGTTTTTAAGTTGTGATAAAGGTTTTTTGAAGGAATTAAAATGTTTCAAATCACTTTGTTTATTGGCCATTCCAAGAGTAGGATAAAGAGGTAAGGGAAAATGTGACCCAAAGAGTTTAATTTATCTTCCAGAGCAAATTCTGCAAACAGCCTTCTCAAGAAATTTGCATATGTGTCCCTTTAAATCACAGAAGACGGAAGAGGCCCACAGGAGTTCTCTGTCTAGTCCATCTTCTCCTTTATCCTAACCCAGGAAATGATCGCATCTGGAGACCTGCTAGTTCAGTCTCTTTCATTTAGAGCAAATAAGCAGATGCTGGTTTATAAACTGCATCAGGGAAAAAAACACATCTCTTCTCTCTTGTTTCCCAGTATATACCCATTGCCTGATACATCAACATGTTCCTTTTTTTTTCTTAATGACCATAAAACATAAGATGATTGGTCTAAAATCACTGAGCAGATGGTAAGCAGAGCTATTACTAAAACCCAAGTAATCAACAATCACCTAAGAAATAAACCTCTCGTGCACTGAAAATCAATTTTGCAACAAACACTCTCCAAAATTTCTCTAAAACAATGAACTGTTTTGTGTCTTTGATTCAAAATTCAATAAAATAAACCCTTCTGCTATTATGTTGGGTTATGCTAATAATTTCCTACCTATTTGCACTTTTTTAGAAAGGTTATTTGAAGCAACACCACTATACACCCCTACTGAAGCACCAAATAAAATAAGAATCTATTAAAATGAAATTTACAATTTTACCTGGATTTGAATTCATGTACTCAGGTGTTTTGTTTTGTTTTGAGGAAAAGGGAGCTGCACAGAACTAAATCACTAACAGCTTTTCATCTCCTTCATAGTGTTCAATGCTGTCTGCACATCAAGAACTTTAAAAACAAAAAAAACCATGTCCTAGTCCCATTCCTAGAAATACCCAAAAATGATTTCATTGGTCTGTGCCAGTGTGGGGAGTGGGAGGCAGTTATGTTCTTTCTTTTCACTTTTTTATTACCACCTATCAAGATATAATTCATGTACCAGAAAATCCATCCTTTTTTCTAAAGTTACATTTAGAAAACTTTTAAAGGGGTTTTTCTTACATGCACAAAGTTGTGACTGGATCACCACTATCTGATTCCAGAATATTTTCATTACCCTCAGAAAGAAATCCCATACTGATTAGCAGCCATTCCCTATTCCTCCTTCCTTCTAGCCCTGAACGACCACTAATATATTTTCTGTCTCTGTGATTTGCCTATTCAGGACATTTCATATAAATGGGATCATACAACATGTGGCCTTTTGTTTCTGGCTTCTTTCACTGAGCAGAATGTTTTCAAGGTTCATCTATGTTGTAACATATATCAGAACTCATTCCTTTTCATGGTCAAATAACATCCCATTGTATAGATACACCACTTGTTTTTCCACTCATCAGTTACTTCCACTTGTTGGCTATTACGAATAATGTTGCTATGAGTAGTCAGGTACACGTTTTTGTGTGGACACATTTTCAATTCTCTCGTGTATACACCAGGAGTGGAATTGCTGTGTCATATGGTAACTATGTTTAACTTTTTGAGGACCTGACAAACTGGTTTCCACAACAACTGCACCATTTTACATTCCCACTAGCAGAGTATGAGGGTTCCAAATTCTCCACATCCTTGTCAACACTTGTTATTGTTGTCCATCTTTTTTATTATAGCCATCCTAATGGATATGAAGTGGTATCTCATTGAGAGATTTGTATTTCTCTAATGACTAATGAAGTTAAGAACTTTTTTCATGTGTTTATTAGCCATTTGCATATCCTTTTTAGAGAAATGCCTTTTCAGACCATTTGCCCACTTAACTGCATTATCTTTTTATTATTGAATTATCAGAGTTCTTTACATATTTTTGATACAAGTTCCTTATCAGATGTGTGATTTTCAGGTGTATTCAACTAGGGTTCCAAACCACTAAAGCCTAAAAGATTCTCAAGCTGACAGCATATCAGAATCATCAGGTAACTTTATAAACCCTTGATTCCCAGACCAATTAAATAAGAATCTCTGGGTTTAGGACCTAGGCACCAGTATTTTTAAAGTTTCTCAAGAGATTCTAATTTGCAGTCAAGTTCAAAAAACATTGGCTGAACAATTTAAAATTGATTTCTAATCCTCAATTCACAGCCTCCACAGGCTTTTCCAATCTCGTTTCCTCAAACCAAAACCTTCCCAATTAGCCAAGCCATTTCAGTCAACATCCCAGGAAAATATTGTATGAGTTCTTCTCTCCATACTTTGTTGACTAACTCCATGGCCTGGAGCATCTTTCCTTTCTCAGGTCTCAAAATGATTACTATCTGCATCACTCATTTGCCACTTGGTCAAGTTCGACACTCTGAAGGCTTCTTGTTCCATGCATTTCAATTTGTTTAACTTTTGATTTGTGTGTATTTCCTCTAGACCCCTACTTTCCAGGTTTCTTTTGAATGAGGATAATATGTTATGCTTCTTTGTAGAATACTGTGTGAATAATAGCATCTCATTAAATAATCAGTAGGTGAAAGATGGTGTTCTGGTTGTATCATTCTCATCAGCAGCTAAATCTGACAACCATCTCATTAAGCCTTTATTCAAAGTTTATTCCTCAACAACTTTAGCTTCATTTATTATTCATTCAACAAATACTTCCTAAAAGCACTGAAAATTAAACATGTAAAGAATCAAAAAGTTCAACTTGTCTTGATAGGAAAATCCACCTTGCTCATTTTCTATCCCTGGGCAGCTCACAGCCTGATGGGGAAGTGTGGGAACAATGGAGGTTCCCATAGCCAGGATCCTCACCTAACCCTAAACTACTTGATAATGTAGTTGGCCTACTTCCAAACCTGTAGGCAATGAGCTATTATTGACTGAGTCACTATATAAAGAGCTCTGCCCAGTGCTGAGTGGAGGCAGAGGCAGAGGTGGAGGTAGATTACAGACCTGCAGACTGTTGGGTGCAGACGTGATTCTGGTGCTTAATGTTCCTCCAGAGAATAGCTGGGTATAAACCCTTTTACCCCAAGAATGTTCCTTTGTCATTTCTTAGTCTCATGGAATCCATAGTGAACTTTCCTCAGGGATGAAGCCCCTCAGGCAAGACAGGAAGAAAGACACATAAACAAATGGCTACTTTAAAAATAGTGGCACAGTGATATGCAGGGTTTTTGGGGGGCAACTGGGGAAACAGCTAATGATTTCTAGAGGAGCTAATGCTCTTTCCTAAATCTTGAAGGAGCATCCATACATTGATTCATCAAGTTTATTAAGTAAAAGCCTAGCTAAGATGAGTCTTTGTGTAAGGAGATGGGATGAAGTGGGAGAGTGTGTTTGGGGATGAGGGGGTAAAGTAATGGACTATGAGGAAGATAAGACAGAGAGAAAGAGCAGGCTAAGCAGAGGAGATAGGAGGTGAGAAAGATAGTGGCAGCTGTAGGAAACTGCAGTGACCTCAATTTTGCTGGACCATGAGCTGTAAAAGACAAGATTGGCAAAACAAGCACAGTTCATAGCTTGAGCTCCCTCCTGCAGGTGATAAGGGCCTGTTGAAGGATTTTAAGCAGAAAAGTGATATGAACAACTTTCTATTTTAAATAGATCACCTGAGCAAAAATGTGGAAGGTAAATTTGAAGGCTACAAAGGTGAAAATATGGCAGCCAGTCAGGATAAAACAGTAGTAGACCAGGCAAGAGGTGATAAGGGCCTAAACTATGGTTAGAAAGAAATCGATAAACTCAAGAAATATTTACAGGCTAAAACTGGCAGAGCTCAGCATTGGCTTAGATGTGGAAGTGAGGAGGAAGGAGGAGTTAAAAATGTCCTTAGGCCTCACAGACCAACCAGTAGGTAACACTGTTTTCCTTTTCCCTGTGTCTCTTCTTCACTCATTACATGACCAGAACAGACAGCTGAGAACCTGAGGTTAAGTTTGGAAATCTGAGCTATGAAGAAGACATTCTTTCTTCCAGCCTGTAAGATCATTGCAAAGAAAATAGAAATTACCTTGAAGTTTCCTGGGAACACAACTGACACCTGTAGCTTAGTTCTGTGTTTTCTGGTTTTCAGAAGGGAGAAGCAGTGGTCTTTCTCTCCTGAAATTGTTTCTCCTTCACAAAGCATAACACAGTGAGATAACTGGAAGATGGGTTTTGCTCCTGTCCATCATGGGCCCTCCAAATTCAAATCTCAGCATCGTTAGGACTGATCAGATTTCTCCTGAGCCCCTTCTACCTCAGCAGCCCAAACTGAGAAAGCTCCCAAGGAAGGACAATCTGAGATTCTGGTACCTTGGTCAGCTGTTACATATCCAACATCCTCCTGGTCAGTGGCACATCCAACAATTGAGAAAGGGAGGAAAAAGTCCTTCCTCGTGTGACTCTTTGTAATAATATTTTGTTGGGAATGAGCTTGAATAATATTGGTTACATGGTCATTTGATGAAAAAGATGTCCAATTTATCTGTCAATGTCTTCTTCCTCTTCTGCATCAACACAGATTATTTTAAAATTAGGTACCATGCTTGAAGCAGTTTGCCTAACATGTGCTAGTGTGTGGCAATA